CAAACAAACAAACAAACAAACAAACAAACTCTGGTTACATCACACTCAAATTGGAGGAACAACTTTCAGTAATATCTCATCCCAAGTCTGGTTTAAAAACCCTTTAATTCCACTTTCTATTTCCAATTCCATGTACATCATAATATACCTCCTTTTAGGCTGGTGCTGCGTCATCCATTTCCTCAGCCTCAGCAGGATCCAGGAATATGTATGATAATGTTAAGGATTTCTGTAGGGCCCCAGTGAGACCTGATCAGGTCCTTGACCCCTAACGCTTCACACCCTCCATCTAATCTGTGTTTTTCACATTTACTTTCTTTGCCAGAATGAACAACGTGTGGTACACACATAAGTAAGGCCATTTTTATTTATTTTCTTTTGTTTTTCAGGTGCTACCAGAGAAATCGGCTCTGCTTTAACCAGAATGTGTATGAGGCATCGAAGCATTGAATCCAAGCTCAGGCAGTTTTCAAGGTGAGTTATGCATGTTACCAGCTGACCGTTTGGAAATAGGATTTCATTAGCTTCTGGATGGCATTCAAAATGTAACTAGTACACAGCATCTTTCATTTAGGACCACATTAAGCTGTTTACTGGGGCTGACTTCCAGCTAACCTCCGACTTTTTTGCTGGGAACACCCTCTGTACAAACTGGGCTTTGTAGAAGGGGAAAATTTAACTGACCATCATGAGAAACCAGGCTTGCTGACTCAAGTCTCTTTCCAAACTAGGAATTCCTGTTTCAGACATTACTGTAACTCAGCAGTGGGTGAAGAAGGGCAAAAGGCATGATTTCTCTTTTTCAGAACATTGATTACTGTTGCAAAAACAGGTCCCCCCCACCCCACCCGGGCCCACTTCTGGTTACTCTTGAATAAATTCGGGAGTTGCTCTTACATAATGATGAAGAGATTGAGACCGAACTTAGGGAAGTATTGGTGCAAATCTAAATTGTGCTTCATAGTCACTAAATCAAGGATGCATAGATTGAGGCACCACAGAGTTTTGGATTTGGCTTGTAGCCATCTTGCAGAGATGCCACAAAACTGTCATTTTTTAATGTAACAGATGGGGGAAATTATCAGGTAATGGCAAATCATCATATTAACTGTAAGTAATTTAATTTAGATTACATGCCTACGTAATTAAATCAAATTTAGCATTTGTCTGGCCCTGGTTATTACTTTGTGCTGGACATTCCTGCTTGCAGACCCACCACTGAAAGGTTAAGTGTGGTCCTTGCCCCCCAGAAAAGTTGTGTACTCTTGCATTGAGTGGCCTTGGGCTAAACACAGCCTCTCAGTCCCAAACACCCTCCCATTCACTTCATAGGCAGTACTGAGGCAATATGTGAATCCTGTCTTACAGGGTTGCTAAGCTTGATGTATGTGCAATGATTGAATCAGACTTAAAGTGTCTTTCTAAGTTCTGGACTTGGGTTCCTGCATGGAAAAAGTGCTCCTTTAAAAAGCTTAGAGGGAGATTCAGATTGGATCTTTTCCTGCAGGATTTGATTCCTCTTTGTGTTTTCTCAACAAAATTAGTGCTTTAATTGACTGTCTGATAAACCCACTTCAAGAGCAGATGGAAGAATGGAAGAAAGTGGCCAATCAGCTGGATAAAGACCATGCAAAAGGTAGTTATGTGGGACCGGGGGGGTGGGGGTGGAAATTACAGAACAATATGGGTAGAGAGAATAGGGAATGGCCTTTAAGGACAGGAGGAACATTGATGTCAGCCCAACAAGGTAGACCAGACTAAGAAACCAACACCATATAGGTCAGAACTACTTTTATTGTAATAGCTATAGTAACAGAATGTTACAAGTCTGGATGTGCTTTCCCCCCTCCTCAGTTTATCTTCTTGTGAACTAGAGAGGGGCTTGTCTGAGACATTTTCTCAAGTTATTTTCTTGGCCTGGGCTCAAGCCCCGCTTATCTGACCCTTGCCTTGGTAGCGGCTCTTCCTTCTGTCCTTCAAGGCCATTCCTATTTCCTCTACAGGTTGTTAAAATCTGCCCGCTGAGGGTTCCTTCCTTTCAGACAATGGCTACTACACTGTTAACAGTCAACATTCCCCAAACAATTACTGCTGATGCAAGACTTCTGTTGTCCCAGGATGTGAAACAATAGTTTTCATTTACAAGAAGGCACATTCCAGTAGAATGTTAAGAAAAATTTCCCAAGAATGAAAACTGTTCAACAATGCAGCCAGTTACCTGGTGCTGGGCAGGACAACTTGAAACCCTAATGTTGTCCCCAAGTCCCCTTTTGCAGAAGAAAATGAAAGGTACATTTTAGTGACATTTCAGATGGGAAACAGATAAAAATTATACTGTAGGTCCCAAAGTATATCCTGTAGGCATATCATATTTTAAAAAGCAAAACTTTCAAAACTCCCCTAAAAATACAGCCTCCCTTAGGGTCACACCCACATTATGGCCATTAGCACCACAACAGTTAGTCCACTGTATCTCTTTTTAGCCCAGATATGGTAGGCTAAGGCACAAAGGTTTGGCCACCAAAGGATACCCCATTTCTGAGTAGGGAAATGGTGAGTTCCCTTTTGCTGTATGTCTTCATGTAAAAATTGGGTAGACATTGGAGATGCTTTAACCTGGACTCCTGCAGTGAGCAGCGAGTTAGACTCCATGGCCTTAAATGACCCTTTCCGACATTATGATAGTGCATGATAGCTTCTATTAATAATGTGATGGTCATTTTTTGCATATGGTTTTGTGCTGATCCCACAGTTTATGATTTAGCCTCCTCTTCCATATGCTGTGTGTGTATGCGTGCGCTCTCTCTCTCCACACACACACACCTGGCTTTTTATGCATCATCTGATGCGAATGAAGTCTCAAGTCCATGTTATAATAAACAATGCTTGGTTTGTCCTGTATTTTGGTGTTAGCTGTAGGAGAGTATGTATGGCATTCAAACTGCTGGTCAAAAGGGGTCCTACTTGTTCCAGATCATAAATTGATCAATATATTGACCTTATTCTTCTATATAAAAAATCAAGCCATGGCAACCTTCTGCAATTGCTAAAAATCCCTTCTGTGATTACTTATGACCCCTGCAGCCGGAGCTGATTATGTTTTCCTATTCTTTCGTGACCTTCTGCATGTATGTTGATGCAAAACGTTAAATGCATCAGTCCATTAAAATGAAAAGTACTGAAGCTTCAGTCTCGTATGAGCTTACTTTGGCCTAAACCCCATTGAATTCAGCATGGCTTACGTTTATGCGGTAGTACTATTAAAATTCTTCTCCAACATTGCTTGTCTAACTTGAACTCCTAGCACCATCGCCCATCAAATATATTTATATATAAAGCATCTCTTTCTCTCTTTCTTTGTAGAATACAAAAAAGCTCGCCAAGAAATAAAAAAGAAATCTTCAGATACATTGAAGCTTCAGAAGAAGGCGAAGAAAGGTACAGTTCCTCGCATTTTTCTTTAGTCTCTTGATAGAGACCTGCTCAGAAGATTCCACTTTTATCTGAACGTGATAAATTACAATCGTATCACGACCTATTACTGTTTAGCTGGTTTTCTTTCAGTTCCTCATCTATGCCCAATCCTGAGTTATACCTTTTTCTGAACTTGCTAGACAGAACTATTGCTTCTCCACAGAATGCAAAATTGGATAAAAAGCAGGTTCCACTTCCAGAGCCCACAAGATCCTATCAGTACATTTGAGGTTTAATGGAACTATATTATGGATGTCCACCCCTTCTCGAAAATGAGAATAAATAAATAAATTGCAAAGTTTTCTGCTCCAGAGACATCAAAGATATAGGTCTAAGACTGCTGGAAGCCAGAAAACGAGCACAACAATGTTTGTTCACACCAATTTATTTTTTTTAATTTATTTATATTTATATATCAAATTTGTCACTGCCCATCTTGCCAAAAAGCGACTCTGGGCAGTTTACAAAAGAGATAAAATCCATTAAATTTACAATATAAAACAATCTTAAATAAGTAAAATATTCATATGTAACCGACAAATACATTTTAATAATGGGAATTAGTGCCTTGGTTTGAATTTAATTTTCACACACAATGCTGTGACCGTAGGAATGCTTCTTGCAAACTCAAAGGCCTGTTTTAAGTTATTCAGGATTGAAAGCTGTGTTTGTATATTATGTTTTCCTAATAAGTAGGATATGGATGCAACTGAGGAATAATCACACTTAGTTGGAAAATTATGGGGAAATTTCCTTCTCCGCAGTATGTCTAACGGCATCTTCATTGTGAAGATGTCAGGATTCTTAATCCTTGTCTTCTGTTTCAAGAAATGGGTGAGCCTGTGAAACATTGGGGAAACAGGAGCACAATCTTTCATTCATAACAAAATGTTACAAGGAAATAAGAATTCTCTCCTTCCAGTGACACATGCATTTTAGTATTTATGCCCTCACACTTGGAGCCCAAAAGTGATCAGCTTGCAAGTTTTAACTCTGTGAAGTTTATTGATGTAGCTGCTGAGAGTATGCATACTATTGCAAAGGGATACAAATGTGACATATAAACAAACAAATAACAGCTTTCTTTTGTGAAATTATCAATCTGTTGAAAATCATAATGTTTAGTATCAGTAGGAAAATTACCGGAATGCAACGGTCATATTGAATGCCATATAGTATGCTAGGAACTTGTTTATATATTTAACAAGATTTTTATAATATCTAGTCGATCCCGCTGGATGGTTTATAAGACTATCAAAACAGAATCTTCATATACAAATGCAACATAATAAAAACAGCCCTTCATCCTTACTAGGCACTCAGATGGTTAAAAGCCAAGTTTAAAACTTTTGAGTTGATTCCAAAAACCCAGAAGTAAGGGCACCAGCTGAATTTCTGCAGGTGATGTACTGGTGAAATCTTTTTTGTGTTCCATCCTTAGATTGTATTATTCCTACAGTCAATGCTTGTGGATAATGGCTGCTGGGAATTTATTTGTACTGGGCAGGATTCAGCGTGGATAACAGTTGAACTAGTTCAGAGAGATGTCTTGACAAATTTTCATATGTAAACCACCAATACATTTTAATAACGGGAGTTTGTGCCTTGGTTTGAAGTCAGTTTTTCCACTGCAAAGCCTGCTGTTCTTTGTTCAGCTGCTGGAGGATGGCTTGCAGAGCAAAAGACAACTCTGAGGTTGGGTGGGAGAGAGAAGCATTTCCATATCTCCTACCACAGGCTGAACATGTGGTTCTCTGAAAGTTACTGAACTGGAAGCTCCCAGAATCCCTCACAATCAATCATGCTTGTGGATGCTCCTGAGAGCTGCAGTTTAAGATCATCTCGAGGGCCACAGCCTGCCACTTCTGATTTAGGTGCTATTTTGAATCCTGTTCTACAAGTGTTAAGCCCATCCTGAACTGTTTAAACCACCAAAAGGTAAAATATAGCAATGGAAGCAGGAGAAATGTTAGTTGATGATTACAGCTGTAGAGATGCTAGCCTTCTGACGGTGAGACAGGACTTCTTGGAGCTGAATTATCTTGTAGACTCTCCAGGTAGCCTGGACTAGCTGCCTCTAATAAGTAAAAAGGTAAACTTTTCTTTGAGCCCAGCTTGACTTCTGGTGACTAGATGAGTCCAGTGTTCCAAGAGGAGGGAATTAATTTTGCCATTGCTGCTTTCTGGTTTACAGTGCTAGAATTTCCTGCTGATCTTGCTTCCAAGGACTAATTTACTCTGCCCCTTTTTAGCTTCCTTGAGATCCACAAGGTCAGCTGGGTAGTATAACCTAATACTTTTGCTTATTGTTCTGGCTTTGCAGCACGTTTCCCTTCTTTTGGCCTAAAGTTTAAAACCTCATGCTAAAAAGGAGTCCTCCGTTCATTAGATTTGATTTTAGCTTAAACTCATGATAATATACATTTCAGAAGAATAACAGGACGGAGTAGCCACAATAACGGCTATCAGATTATTTCAGTTGCATCTTTACCTTTCAAGTAAATTGTATCTGTAAAGGTTTGTTAGTAGAACATGAATTTTCCCCTGTGCTTTTGCTTGATATTAAGACGACAAAAATGTATGTATGTATGTATGAACGAGTGAATGAACAACCACACTGTTACGTTTTGTGAAGTCCAAAAATGCAGTATGCCAGGGTGATTTTTTGATCAATATTGTTTGGGCCCTAATAAAAGATTAGCATTTAGTTCTAGAACAGCGTTTTTCAAACTTGGCAACTTTAAGATGTGTAGACTGGCTGGGGAATTCTGGGAGTTGAAGTCTACACATCTTAAAGTTGCCAAGTTTGAAAAACACTGCTCTAGAATCTTGTTTGAACTGACACTACATAATACATTGAAACTAGCACAAAAGCTAGTGAATGCAGGTCCAACACTGTAGTATCTAAAAGCATAT